GCGCTCTGGAGAGGCCTTTTTCAGGAGGTGAAGGAGGGGCACGAAACCAAAGAAATTGCAGAGTATAGCCACACCCCGCTCGCTCGTCGGGTCTGCCCTGTAAGGGTGGGAGGAGCAAGAATCGCGTGAAAGAGTATGGTGTAGGGATGCCCTGCTCTCTCTGGCGGGGGGGTCCCTGACGCTCTGGCGGGGCTTGCCCAGGAGGGGAGGGAGGAGCACGAAACCTGGGGAAAAATTATGGTATAGCCACACCCCGTGCGCTCTGACGGGGCTATCTCGGGTGCGGTGGGAGGAGCAGGACAAAACAGGGACTGCGCATGGTATAGCAATACCCCTCTCGCTCTGCCGGGGCCGCCCTTGAGGGGTGGGGGGGGGCAAAGCACTTGTGAAATGATAGGGTATTATAGCGATGCCCCGCTCGCTCGGGCGGGGCGTGTCTGGCGCTCTGGCGGGGCCGTCCCAGGAGAGGAGGGAGGAGCACGAAAGCTGAGGGGCGAGGGGAGGAAGAGGAGAGAGGAGGGAATGGAGGCAAGGGGGGGGCGGGAAGGAATGAGGAACGGAGGGGGGGAAGCCCCGGCCATCTGGGCCTCCCGCTCCCGCTCTGTGGCTCATCTTGGGCCTGTCCTAGGGCCTCTTGGGCCGTCTGGGGTTCCTCGTGGGCAATTTGCAGGCTCTCTGGAGCCGTCTTGTGGCTCTTTGGGGGGCGTCTTCGGCGGTGTTGGGGCGGTCTTCGGGGCGTCTTCGACCGTCTTCGAGCATTGGAAGCTCGAGAACGCGAGAAAGCAAAAAAAACAACAAAAACTACCAGAAATCAATGATTTGTGCCTCTTTGGGCTCTCTCGGGACGTCTCTCGGAAGCTCTCTTGGGGCCTCTCGGAGACCTCTTGGGCTATGTTTGCCGCCTCGAGCTCCTCTTGGGCCACGTTGGGATCATCTGGGCCGTCCTGGAGCGCCTCGGGGCCTCCCGCTACCTCTCTGGGGCCCAACTTGTGCCTCTCCTGGGATTCCCTTGGGCAGTCTTGGGCTGCCCTTGGGCAGTCTTCAGGCTCTCCGGAGCGTCGTGGGGCTCTTTTTGGGGCCTCTTCGGCGGTCGTGGGGCGGTCTTCGGGGCGTCTTCGGCCGTCTTGGAGCGTTGGAAGCTCGAGAACGCGAGAAAGCGAAAACATTGAAAAAACGACTAGAAACCAATGATATTGTGCCTCTTTGGGCTCTCTCGGGACGTCTCTCGGAAGCTCTCTTGGGGCCTCTCGGAGACCTCTTGGGCTGTGTATTGGCAGTGTTGGCCCATCTGGGGCCACGTTGAGGCCATCTGGGCCGTCTTGGAGCGCCTTGGGGCCGCCCGCTCCCGCTGTGTGGCCCAGCTTGGGCCTGTCCTGGGGCTCTCTTGGGCCGTCTGAGGCTCCTCCTGGGCAGTTTGCAGGCTCCCTGGGGCCGCCTTGGGGCTCTTTTGGAGGCCTCTTCGGCGGTCTTGGGGCGGTCTTGGTGGCGTCGTCGGCCGTCTTGGAGCGTCGGAAGCTCGAAAACGCGAGAAACCGAAAAACACAGAAAAAATATCCCGGCAAAGCAACCTAACAGCGATGTGTATAAGCATATCTGGAAGCATTCCCCTTAAGATTCAAGTGAGAATCCAGTTGCAGAATTCTGCTGTTCTCGCAGTCGCAGTCGCAGTCGCAATGACATTCACAGTGGCAACGGCCTTAGGATCCAATGGAATCCTAAGGATTCCTAGGGATTCCTAAGGCATCCTTAGGCATCCTTAGGAATCCATAGGAATCCTTAGGAAACCTTAGGAATCCTTAGGAATCCTGATTCCTAGGGATTCCTGAGGATTCCTAAGGATTCCCAGGGAATCCTAAGGATTCCTAAGGATTCCTAAGGATTCCTGAGGATGCTTAACTATGCCTACGGATTCCTAAGGATGCCTACGGATTCCTAAGGATTCCTAGGGATTCCTAAGTCCTACGGATGCCTCAGCCTGCCTCAGCCTCAGCCTCAGCCTCAGCCTGCCTCTGCTTGCCTCGGCCTCAGCCTCAGCCTGCCTCGGCCTCAGCCTCAGCCTGCCTCAGCCTCAGCCTCAGCTTGCCTCGGCCTCAGCCTGCGTCAGCCTCAGCCTCAGCCTGCCTCAGCCTCAGCCTGCCTCAGCCTCAGCCTCAGCCTCAGCCTCAGCCTCAGCCTGCCTCGGCGTGCCTCAGCCTCAGCCTCAGGCTGCCTCGGCCTCAGCCTGCCTCGGCCTCAGCCTGCCTCGGCCTCAGCCTGCCTCAGCCTCCCCTCCTCCCCCCCCACCCTCTTCCCCCCCCTATTCAGCCTCACCTTGTCTCAGCTTCGGCCTCAGTCTCAGCCTCAGCCTGTCTCGGCCTGAGCCTGCCTCGGCCTCAGCCTCAGCCTGCCTCAGCCACAGCCTGCCTCAGCCTCAGCCTCAGCCTGTCTCAGCCTCAGCCTGCCTCAGCATCAGCCTCAGCCTCAGCCTCAGCCCGCCTCGGCTTGCCTCGGCCTCAGCCTCAGCCTGCCTCGGCCTCAGCCTCAGCCTCAGCCTGCCTCAGCCTCAGCATTAGCCTGCCTGAGCCTCAGCCTGCATCAGCCTCAGCCACAGCTTGCCTCAGCCGCAGCTTGCCTCAGCCTCAGCCTCAGCCACAGCCTCAGCCTTAGCCTCAGCCTCAGCCTCAGCCTCAGCCTCAGCCTGCCTCAGCTTCAGCCTCAGCCTCAGCCTCAGCCTGCCTCAGCCTCAGCCTCAGCCTGCCTCGGCCTCAGCCTCAGCCTCAGCCTCAGTCTGCCTCAGCCTCAGCCTCAGCCTCTCAGCCTCAGCCTGCATCAGCCTCGGCCTCAGCCTCAGCCTGCAGCCTCAGTCTCAGCCTGCCTCAGCCTCAGCCTGCCTCAGCCTCAGCCTCAGCCTGCCTCGGCCTCAGCCTGCCTCAGCCTCAGCCTCAGCCTGCCTCAGCCTCAGCCTGCCTCAGCCTCAGCCTCAGCCTGCCTCGGCGTGCCTCAGCCTCAGCCTCAGCCTGCCTCGGCCTCTGCCTGCCTCGGCCTCAGCCTGCCTCGGCCTCAGCCTGCCTCAGCTCGGGCATTCAAAATATGGCACAGGACTGGTGTTCTGGGAACACGAAGATCACGAAGTGGCCCACAGTTAGCTCCGGGCAATCAAAACATGGTACAGGAATGGCGTTCTGGGAACACGAAGAACACGAAGTGGCCTGCAGTTGGCTCCGGGCATTCAAAATGTGGCCTGGAAATGGTGTTCTGGGAAGACGAAGATCACGAAGTGGCCTACAGTTGGCTCCAGGCATTCAAAATGTGGCCTGGGAATGGTGTTCTGGGAAGACGAAAAACACGAAGTGGCCTGCAGTTGGCTCCGGGCATTCAAAATGCGGCCTGGGAATGGTGTTCTGGGAACAGAATCTGTAGGAATCCGTAGGAAACTATAGGAATCTATAAGAGTCCTGGGGAGTCCCCGGGTTCCCCGGGTTCTCCCGGCACCCGCCCAGACCCCCCTGGGGAGTCAAGGTGCTCTCTTTTGAGCCCACTAGAAACCTACCAGTCTTCGCTCAGGTAACAATGAAGATCAAGGATTTGGGCCTCTTGGGCTGTGCATTTGCGGTCTGGAGCCCATCTTGGGGCACGTTAGGGCTATCTGGGCTGTCTTGGCGGGGCTTGTCGAAGTCCCCCAGAGGCTTCTGGGAGCGTCTTAGAGCTCTCTGGGGCAGTCTGGGAGCGTCTAGAACCGCGCGCGCACGCTTCGCGCGCGCTTGGGTTCTAGCGCATGCCATGGCGTTGTTAGCTGTGAGTGCTTTTCGGACTGGCTCATTCCATGCCTTGCCCCTTCGTCCTCTAACATTCCTCGTACGTCCTTCCTCGTTAACCATCCAGTCTCTCTCGGTTGTCCTCGCTTTTCGTTTCTCGTTCTATGGACGGCCTCCTCTTGCTTAAGATTATGTGGGGCCTTCAAGCTGTTCAGGGCTGGCATGGGGAGATATTGAATATGAAGTGGAATGACTTGGAGTGTAGGGGTCTCTCGGAGATCTTCCTGGTCGGGCTGCCCTGAAGGCCTTGGGGCCCACTTGGAGCTCTCTTGGGCTCTTCTTCGAAGTTGTGGGGCCGTCTAGAGCCTCGGGGCCATGTGACGCTCTCCTGACTCAATCCGAAGGAGAAGAACGCGAGATTTACCGAGTATGGAGAAACCTGGATAGTTTTGCGTTTACGGCTCTCTGGGGCCAGTTTGGGGGGCCTTTGGGGAGCTCCACTGGGACATCTTGTGGCCCCCGGGGGCCGCCTTGAAACATCTTGGAGCGTCTTGGGCCACCGAGGGGCCATCTTGGCGGCCAGCGGGCGTCCTCCTGAACCAGCTCGGAACCCTCTTCAGGCAGAAAAAATCGACCAAAGACCCCAAGGCGAATCCCAGCGCCCAGGGGGGCCAAGTGGGTTGCGACGGGAGGACTTTGAGAAAAGTGGGCCACCCCAGGGCCAGAAACCCGGTCGTCGGTGCACAGAGCAAGGTGGAGTCATAGCACACTGGTTGGTCCAGGAATGGACGAACTGAACACGTGGCGGGGGGGTACGCCGCACTCGCAAAAACATACACTATGAGAACTGATGGCGTATTCCCAATGGGAAAGGCGAGTAACGCGAGGAGGAGGAGGAGAAACTGGAGGAGGGAGGAGGGATGTGAGAGGAGTAAGGTGGGAAGAAGAGGAAGGAACGGAGGAGAAGTGGGGACAACAGGCGCTGGACGTTCCAGCGAAACCTATCGAACCACTCGTTGTCACCCTCCTGTTCCTCCTGCTCCTCACCATCCACCGAGTTCACCCTGCTCAAAAAAGGCCCGAAAAGCCAACCCGCAGCTTGGGGTGACAAATCAAGCTATACAACAAGGGCAAACAATTTGCAACGGAGCCAGCTCGAAAAAAAACTCATTTCCCTTATTCACCAGTCGCCTTCTCCTGTTAGATTCAATACCTCTCGACCTCTCCACACTCTTCTTGCTCCACTCTCTATTATCGGAGGGGACGGCCATTCGCCGTTCAACACACCACACACGTACAACGTACCAACCTGACTCCTTGGGTCCGAGAAGCGAACATTGACGAGGTATCCTGGTAGAGACGCATCGCTTGGCGCATACTTGCCTGGTCAGTAATCCAAGGGTGCGCGAACAAGGCGTAGCGAAACTCCTCGCTGCCCCTGAGGCGAAAAGAGTGGACAACAGGACATGAAATTGATATTTTCCGACGGGGACGGTGTGCACGCAAGGCGGAAAGAAAAAGTTATTCGCCGTCGCCCTCGAGAGGAGCAGGAGGAGGAATAAAGAAGGGGGGGGGCCACCACTAGGCGCAGCGTGAACAAGTTGTTGCCAACACCACAGCGGCGAGACATGGTGCCAGAGCCGAAGAGAAGTTCCCGAGGCTCGGCCCTAACTGGCCGTGGCGATAATGAGCGCGAGAGCAATTGTGGACGCTGCAGCGCTTCCAAAAAAAACCAGACGGAGCGGCGGCGCGGCGATGGAACGGCTCCACGGGAACGGTGATGGGCCGAACACGTTTACATCGCAGCGCAGCATGAGGCAATGTACCCGGCCGAGCACGAGCACATTCGAACTGTACACGTTGTCAGAGCAAAGTTTTCGGGCAACACGGCGGGAGCCCCGAGCGGCGAGACTCGGTCAACCACAGGTACTGGCATCGGTGTTAGGGAATAGGGCCGAAGCGCCCAAGAAAGAGGACGGGGACACAGGATCAGGATGTGGAGCAGGAGGAGGAGAATGAAGACCACGGAGTTGCCAACGCTGTGCAAGACATCTTGTCGCCAAAGCCATAGATGGTGAGACAGAATGCCAGAACCTCTGAGAGAGTCTCAGAAGCTCGTCATACAAAATGTGGGCGCTGAGGCGCTTCCAACGAAACCTGCACCTGACACTCGGCAGACTGTACAGCGATTCGTGCTAAACTTTTCCGATGGTGCGTTTGACGCTGTGGATGGAGCTGCGTATCAAGCAGTATTAATGTCAAGCGGCTGACAGGTCCCTGGACAAATGGCCTGCCTTCGTCCGTTTCCATGATCCGCCGCAGCGCTCCCTGGCACGGTGAGGCGTGGCACAATGCCAAGTGACGCCCGGCAGGAGTTTGCAGGTCTTCCAGCCCCCCGCCGCCCCCCCCCCCCCACCCCCCACCCGCCCACCCAAACAACTGCTGCATGCACCACCAGCCCCTCCAGAGGTTTCCCAGGCGCCTCCGCGCCTCGCTGGCACTCTCCGGTCGAAGATGGAGGCCGTGTTGTGTAGCGGTGGTGCCACTGCCTCGCGACGCTGCGGCCCAGAAGGTCAGAGAGGGGCGAGATCCCGATGGGGTCTGGAGCGTTAACGGATGGATCGGCCGCTGGGCCAGGCGATGCCAGGCGGGCACGCGCGTCTGTTGCGATGGGCGTCGAGCGCTCAGGGGTCGGAGCCTGGGCTGACGGCGTCGACGTGGCGGCATCGCTGGTACGTTGGGTGGCTGTCAGGCCTCATGTACATCCCTCCGCGAAACTTGACGCAAGTTTTTCCTGCGCCGCGTCGGCACTCCCAATACCCTAAATTCTAATGTTGATGCCGAAACGCGCGATTTGACTTTTTCCGTCGGCGTCCGCGGACAACGCCGCGTGCGCAACCGAACATTGAAATTATTTGAAATTTGGGGCGCGGGGCGTGTGGGACAATTTGCGTTAGGTTTCGCGGAGGGTTGTAGAACCGATTCGCCAGGAATCTGGCTGTGCCTTGTCGGATCGGCCCGTGAGCCAGACAGGCAAGAACCAATGGGACAGCGATGCTGTGCAGTGCCATGCAGAGTAAATCACCAAAGGCATACTCTCATAATTATCCAAGGCTCTCCAGCAAGGTTTCCAAGACGGCCACGAAACAATTACCAAGGCCGCCAAGATGTCCCAACATTGACTCCCTCCAACAGCTCCCAAGAAGACCCTAAGAGACGCCAAAAGAACCCCAAGAGGCTCCCAAGACACCAAAGAGGAGGGGCCAAGAGACCCCCAGGAAGCCCGAAATCACTCAACACCATGAGGATGTCTGATGTTCTTGGAGGGAACTCGCTGAACTCTCGGCCCAAGATGGTCACAAAAAAGCCTCGGAGAAACGAAAGAGAACCCGAAGGCGTCCCGTGAAGGACCAAGGACAGACATGAGAGGGACCCAGGATGGCCAAGACAGCCCAAGACAGCCCCAAGAGAACTCCAACATGGCCCGAAGAGGCCCCAAACGACCCCCAAGACAGCACCCAGGGATTCCCCAGATGGCCGAGAGGGGCCCAAGACTGCCCAAGACGGCACCCAGACGGCCCGAGAGCACCCCGAAACGGCACGAGAGGGTCCCAGGGGGGGGCCAAGACTGCCCCATGGGACCCGAAGAAGGCTTCAAGAAGGTGCAGGTCGGCCCCACGAGAGCCCCTCAAGACAGCGTCACCAATTACAACGGGGGGCCAGTCCACAAGAAACCTTCCACAAGAAACCCAACCCTGAGACCGCA